TACTATAGCCTTACCATCGTGGACATAATCTTTGTGGACATAATCTTACATTTTAGTGCATATCAGAGACTTTTTATTTTTATGGATTTTTTCACGATGGTAAGGCTATAGTAAGGCATGTTTTTTTTGTTATATTTCAACATGTTTAAATATTGTTTTTTGGAGTGTTTAGCACAAATTATTTACTTGGCAGCATGTTTTGTGGCATAAACTTGCATTTCTACATATATTGATATTGGACCGGTTAACACTGCAGGGAGCACCAAGTTGTGGTCATGCATCACAGTGCAAAACTGTACATTTATCTGTTTGAAATTAAAAAAACCTGGCATCTGGGAAAGGAGTATGCTGGGTCCAGTTCTGGAGGGATTATTCTGCAACGTGCGGCCATGTCAGGAAGCAGACAGGACCCAAATGCAGCAAAAGGGAGACTCTCTCCAGCTACAGCAGGTTTATTAACAAAAAGCATAAACAACAAAAACTCACTTGGTTACAATGCATGAACTCCAAAACACAGTACAACGCACACTGAACAATGACCCCACAAAGAGAGTGAGGGAGAGAGGTATATATACCCAGGGTACGAGGTGTGACCAGTGAGACTAATAAAAAAAAGACAGGAGAGTGTGTTCACACTGTTGATTACAACACAGCAGACAAAACAGAAAGGGAAACAAAGACCTAACATGAAACACACTGATGTTTTTTTCAGATTAATATTAGTTGAAAGATACAGACAGATAATTGGCGAAAGGGCTTCAAATTTTAGTATTTTTTTCACCAAATAACAACAAATGGTTATTGTGACATAGTGTCCTATGCTGCAATAACCTAACTAATAGCAATGAAATGCTCTTAGAGTTAAAACAAAAACAAAAACTTTTCTCTATTAACTTCAGATGATCAACACTGTTACGGGTAAAAAGGAAACAACAAACACACAGCCTTGCCTTTTTCTTATGAAAATGTCGCTGACTGAAGCGATACGTGCAGTAAGAATTAATTTGAATGTGCAAACCGTGCGGCTCCAACAGGCTACTGTTTAGCACGCTAACCGGCTGCCCAGCAGCGTGCAGACGGTTTAAAACAAACCTTCCGCACGCTCTGCGGAATACTGGCCCTTCATATGACGGGTTAGCCACCAAAGTGAAGAGAACCAGAGCTGGAAATACGTACCGTCATAATAATACCAACCATCACTTGACCGGGAAGTACTGCCACTTCCTTCCGGTTTTAAAGGCTACAGATGCGCCTCGTTATCCAATCACAAGCGTCCTGCAAGACATCCATGATCCACTAGGTGGCAGTGCAGGCTCATTAGTTTGTCAATGAGTAGGTACATACGATCACTGCACACTATTGTCAGTGCAGCTGAAGAAAAAAATTCCAGCAACTCTTATTTGCAACTTATGCTGCAAATACTGAGTTGCATGCATTTATATCGTTATTTTATTTTTTAAATTCGCTTTTCTTCCGTCGAAAGAGATCTATTTTATTCATGTTCCACGAGGGCAGTTTAGCGTAGGAACACATTTTATGATGAAATCTTGTCTGGTAATGCGGTCGGTTGTTCGGTTAGCTGCGCCAACAACGAGGTCTGGCCATTAGGTTGTATGCAGACTCAAACGTGCAACTGCATATATGAACAAGTTCCCTGCAAAAGGTCGTCTGCTCTGTTTGTGGTTGTATGCTTGAGCCAATTGGTTTTCGCCCTCTTGTGGCTCAAACCTGCAACTTCACTCATCGACGTTTTGGCCGGCCCTCGTTTTTTGATTTAGGTAAAAAGTAGTAAAAAGTAAGCTGAAACTAAATTAAAAACCTTCCACAAACCTTACAAAGTTGTTTAAAAAAACACAGAATACGTCCACAATGAACACAACAACAACAACAACGTTTTACTCTTAATAGCAAAAGATTCACATTTACAAAACATGCATTCAATCATAAAGTCCATAGATCCACATTTAAAAACGATGTCAATCTTGTCTGTACTGGATTTGTCCAGTTGATGTGCCACTCACTCTTTATCTCATTATTATGCGATAATGTTTGTACTAACACGTTTCTGAAAGTCTTCAAAAATGTTTCTCAAAACTTAATATGCTGGAATTTGCCTAAAAATATGTAGATGTGTGTGAATCCAAGTATAAAATTCAGAAATGGTTTTAGTCCATCAACCACTGATCAAAAGTAACTCACTGTACTAATATGTTCCTGTGATTAAAAAAAATCCAAGAATGAATAGAAATTCACAGATTTGCCTTAAAATACTGTCTACTTTATATGTTTAAAATTTAGAAAATAACGTTTTGGTATGTCAACCATTGATCAAAAGTAACTAATAGCATCTTAAGAGGAAATTTTTAATTTTATCACCAGTTACTACACTGGCTGTTGAACAAGTCAACACAGACACACACACACTAACACACACACACTCTGAGCAGAGTCCGGGAAGTAGAGAGACGGAGACAAAGACCAACTGGTAGAGCAGCAGACAAAAGTAGATGAAGAAAGAAGAAGTGAAGAGAATGAAAGAATCATCATCAGTGATTCTTCATCAACTGTCGTTGAAGTCTGTCTTTCATCCTGAGAAGAAAAGGATGATCAGGTGATGTTACTTTTTAATTAGTATCAAATTGATTTTATTTCTCCTTTGGTGATGTTAAACTAACATTGTATCTTGACATTGCCCTGGAGTTTTTTAACACTCACTATGTGTTTTAAATGTACTCCTGCTGTTTTTGGTACAATCTGCTTTTTATGAACTATTAAACTATTTTATCACCATTTTCTTTAATTTTTCTGATATTTGACCTTCTGTCTGTCTGACATCACTGATGTCTTTCTGACTTTTTTACTCCTTCACTCTCACAGGTGCCTCCTCTTCCTGCTTCTCCTGACGTTGGCGACTGACGCTCAGGTTCTGTCTTTGTCACAAATGTATGGCAGCATCAAATCGCCAAATTTCCCAGAGCCATATCCCAATGAGACAGAACTGCGCTGGAATGTCAGCATTCCTGAAGGATTCCGAGTCAAGTTGTACTTCACACACTTTGACCTAGAGCCGTCCTACCTGTGTGAGTACGACTTTGTCAAGGTAAGAGCCCAGAGCATCATGGGTAGTGTTCGTCCTCTTTACTTAAAAAAAACATTGTCTCTTGTAAGTCCTGTGTGTGCAAGTTCTCAAAGTCCAGATCTGACCACTAGGGAAACAGAATCCTAAAAAAAAAAACACCCCCCCCCCCCCCCCCCGATAACAGGCTTAAATCAAGAATGTGTGTGTTTGTGTGGGTGTGTGTGTGACTGACTGGTCATTGACTTCCAGTCTAAACTGTGTTTAAAGGCAGATAAGCCTGGAGCCTGGGATTTGGGGGTTGTCCCTGCTGGAGTCAGATTAAGTCATAAATCTGGATTAATTCAGAGTGGATATGAATGTCAGTGACAGTTGACTGTTGAACCAACAAAAAGGTGACGGGTGAAGCTGCAGGCGACCTGTGGACGGCAGTCACCTCAAATATGACTACAGTGTTGTCAAGATAGAGCTCAAATTCTCTTTCCTGGCCTCTAGGTGGTGCCATTTGAAAGGAAAGTGAATTGTTTTATGTCAATCAGATTATCTAAATAGGTACCATGGAAAACATTTACATTGATTACTGACATTAAGTTGGTAATATGTCATAGGCACAGTTGAATTCACAGTTGAAAACTGTACATGAGTTCTGTGGATTAGAACTCAGCAGCTGCTTGGCTCCATAGTGGTTTGTTTTGTGAATCAAAGGTTAAACGTTTGTATTTTTTCACTGATTGGTTGTTGTGATGTGTCCACAGGTGGAGGCAGAGAGGGAGGAGCTGGCATTGTTCTGCGGGAAGGAGGAGAGCGACACTGAAGCTGTGCCCGCTCAGCAGGTCATCACTTCACCCAGAAACTCCCTCAGCCTGCTCTTCTCCTCTGACTTCTCCAATGAGCAGAGACATTCAGGTTTCATGGCTCACTACAGTGCAGAGGGTGAGTGGGGGAGAGGGTGACGTGCAACATTCTGTTCTAATAGTCTGTGTGAGACAGGACTTCTGTTGGTCTGTAGCTGAAGTGGTCTAAATCTGTCTGGCCCATGTAGGCAGTAGGATGCATATGGTGCACCCCAGCCTTCTGAACAGAGTGTGGTCTAATGTTTGTATCCTCTCACTGACAGATGTTGATGAATGCAGTGATTCCAGTGATGAAGATCTGTTTTGTGATCACTTCTGTCACAACTTCATTGGAGGTTACTACTGCTCCTGTCGCTATGGTTACCTGCTGCATACAGACAATCGTACCTGCAGAGGTGAGACCCCCAAATAAGAGCGGCTGCAGCTGCAGCCAGGTCAAAGATATTTAACACATTTATCATTAATCACAGAACAACTACCGCTTGACTTCAGGTTTGCTTCTAATTCCATCACTTGTTTTTTACCCCCATGAGTTGCTGTGATTTATTCACTGTGTTTCAAAGCTTTATGTATTTAATAAGCTTAAACATGTGAACTGTTTCATAACCGATTAGAATTCCAGCAGTTGATCCTGACCCCACACACACACAGAGACACACACACATATATACAGTATATGAGCACAGAAATCACAGCAATTCTTCAAATGTTCTGCAGAAAAAACAGGCATAGATCAAAGTTTAAATAATTCTGTTTAAAACATTTAAGCTTTTACATGAAATTCTCAGACACATACAGGAAAACCTGAAAGCAAAATGTCCAGCCAGGCTTCTGTAGCATGACCCTCAGGTCAGACATTCACAGTGTTTGTAGGATTACAGAACTGGGAATAAAAAGGTTTAGTCATTTAAAAATACACAATATACACAAAAGTAATTTTGTGTATATTGTGTATTTTTAAATATAAATGTAATTCTCATTTGGATTCTTACTGGATTTCTCGAAAAATACGTTTGAAGTGAAAATATAATGAAATATGTAAAAATGAAGAATTATTTTGTCATTAAATTCTCTTTCTCTCCCTCTCTGTTTGTTTCCAGTGGAGTGCAGCGATGCTGTGTTCAGGGAACGCTCTGGTATTCTCAGCAGTGTTGATTTCCCGGCTCCGTATCCAAAAAGCTCTGACTGTTTGTATCGTATTGAGGTGGAGCCTGGATTTAAGATCCGCCTCCAGTTTGACCCTAGCTTCAACGTCGAGGATCATCCTGACGTCAGGTGTCCTTACGACTACATCAAGGTCAGAGAAACAAACACGCCTCTATGTACACACAGCTAACAGCTTTCACTCAACATCTGTGCGCTTATGTCTGTTAGATCACAGGGGGCAGCACTGAGCAGGGCCCTTTTTGTGGAGATAAATCCCCAGGAGTCATTGAGGTGGACAGTAACGTGGCCTCTGTCGTCTTCCACAGTGACAACTCAGGAGAAAACCTGGGATGGAGGTTGACGTACACAGCTATAGGTTACACAGCAGTATTATACTGTGGCATACTAGTACATTACTAGTACATTGGTATTGTAACTTTTATGTATTTTATGTATGTATTTTATGTACTTTGTTCAAACAGGAAGTAAATGCGTAGTACCTGAAATCCAGCCCCACGCTCTGATGAATCCTGTCCAATCAGAATATTCCTTTAAAGACCACATTGTCTTCACCTGTGAGCCTGGATTTCGACTGCTGAAGGTGAGGCGATGTTCAGGTTGGCAGTAATCGTTGATTCATCTGCGTAATGTTCACAGAAAAGACAAATGAACTTTAGAGGATTAAAAACCAAATTAGAACAAATAACCTTGAATTAAATAAACACATTTTTCTGGCTGCCAGAAAAATGTGTTTATTTAATTTATTTCTAAAACTCAGTCCAATGGTAGAAGTCAGGAGAACGCTGTGGAACATGACGAGGCAGAAGAAGCTCAGCATCGCCATCCAGTTGTGAAAAGAATGATCACACATTCATTCATATGAAATCAACATACTGTACTCTATTTGAATATTGTTGACAAGTGGACATGGATGTTCTGTCTCTCAGGATGGACAGTATCTGGACCATTTCCAGATCGACTGTGGTTCTAATGGATCCTGGACTAGTCGTCCTCCTCAGTGTCACAGTAAGTGTCCAAGGTGTCCTCAGAATGTCGGGACGTAACGTGTATCGTAAACGTCTTTGTTGAGCAGATTGGTGATGTCTTCAGGTCGTCCCCTGGACCACTGAGTCTGTTCATATAGAGAAAACAGAGACATGTGTCCTCTCAGATCTGAGACAGAGCTCTGTTGAGGACATACTGTTTACATCTCACCAATGATTTAAATAAAACAATGAAAAAAAATCAGTCTGTGGGATTTTTTTTTACACATTTCCGCTTTTTTTCTGTTTCCCAAAAATAAATAAAGATGATTTTTACATCATGTTTGTTGAACTGAGTTTTTTCATTCAGAAGTTGTTACTACTTAATTCTGATTTTTTATTTGTAAATAGATTTTTTTAAATTAACTCCTAAATGAATCTGTTATTTGTAACAACATAAAAAGTTCTTATTATTAACTAGTGAAATCCTATTGGTTTGTGACATTTGTATTTTATTCAGTGGTGGATTGTGGGAGTCCAAAGGTGGTGGACCTGGCAGAGGTGGTTTTTGGGAACCACGACAACACCACTCGATTTGGATCGTCTGTCACGTACGTCTGTAGAGGGGACATGATGGAGCCAAGCACCAGCAACAGTAAGATCATGAAGAAATGACATGAAATACTGTACTGAAAAATACTGAAATACTTCATTGGTGTGTCTATTGTAGCGTCTTACACCTGTGGCCAGAATGGAGAATGGACAAATGTAGAAGCAGGAGTCAAACTGCCCCGCTGTCTTCCAGGTACATGTCTGTCCGTCTCTTGTCAGTTTTCTCATTTTCTCCTTCTTCTTCTTGGTTTTATTTTATCTGCGGTTGTAGAGCAAAAATATTGTCAAATGATGAGGAAAGTAATCAAGACTCTGACTATTAATGTGTACGTCCAGCCTGTGGACGTCCCTCGCGTACCTTCCCCCCTCAGATGAAGCGTATCGTGGGAGGGCGGACTGCAGAGCCAGGCCTCTTCCCATGGCAGGTCCTGCTCAGTGTTGAGGACCAGTCCAGAGTTCCAGAAGACCACTGGTTTGGTTCTGGAGCGCTGCTGTCTGAGTTCTGGGTCCTCACGGCAGCCCACGTTCTCAGGTCTCAGAGGAGAGATGCTAGTGTGGTTCCTGTGGCACCAGAACACGTGAAGGTTAGTGTCAAAAAAAATGTAGTTTTGATTTAACAATGATAACGGCAAAGAATGCTGCGGTTCTTCAGGTCTTCCTTGGTCTCCATGACGCCAACAACAAACATAAGGCTGACAGTCGCTCAGTGGACAAGGTGGTCCTCCATCCACACTTCCAACCCAACAACTATAATAATGACATCGCCCTCATAAGGCTGACTGAGGCAGTGGAGTTTAACAGTTACATCCGACCTGTGTGTTTGCCCTCCCCCAATGATGAGGTGAGGGACATTGATCAACCAACCAATCACCTATCTGCCAATCCAAATACCCATCAATCAATCAAACAATCAGTCAATCAACTGATCGATCAATCAATCAATCTTCTTTTTCAGCCTAACTCCTCGTCACTCCTACCTAACTCTCTGGGAGTTGTGGCTGGGTGGGGGATCTCCAACCCTAACTCCACCTTTTCTTCTTCATCCCCACCGACCTCCGTCACCACGGCGAACTTTGACCCCGGACTGACCTCTGACATCCTACAGTACGTAAAGCTACCGGTGGTTTCTCAGGGCGAGTGTCGGGCCAGCTACTCCTCTCGCTCCGTCAGTTACAACATCACAGACAACATGTTCTGTGCTGGCTTCTTTGAAGGGGGGCGGGACACCTGCTTGGGTGACAGCGGAGGGGCGTTTGTGACAGAGGACCAGCTCACCCGGAGGTGGGTGGTGTCAGGGCTTGTGTCATGGGGAGGCCCAGAAGAGTGTGGGAGTCGGCGGGTGTATGGTGTTTACACTCGAGTGGCATCATATGTGGAGTGGATAGAGAAACACCTCCAGATTTTCCCCTGATGGTGAGACTCTGTAACAGCAGCAAAAAGGTGTGTCCAACTGAAATGTGAGATTTGACAGTACAATGACGTTAGAATGATGTAATGATATAACAGAACATCACACGAAGTAAAAAAAGAAGTAAGAACACCATATAAAAGTATGATATTTTTTCAACTAACAGCAACACTCCATTGTATTTAAAATAATGTGTATTTCATTTTTTAAACAATTATTCATTTTATTCTGTTATTTCATAATGTTTTATTTGTCTATTATTAACAAATTATATTACAAAATAATTATTCACCAAATAAAAAGATATTTAGCAGCAAATTGTCCGAGTGTATTGATCACATGACAAGTACTCTACAGTTTAGAATTGGTTAAATTTAAACTCTGTCCTTTTGTCCAACTTTAATGGAAAAGTTCTTCTATGTTCAGATCTGTTTTTGTTGACAGCCTTAAATCCACTGGTGGGTCTCCGTCATCAGTCTTCTGCTCTCAGCTGCTGGTGATATTCAGGTCTGTGTTCCTCATGGTTTCTCTGACCCAGGTCAGGAAGTTCCCTAGTCTGGTGTAAACTCCAAACTTCCCGTGAGCAGCACACCCTTCTCCCCAGCTGATGACTCCAGTCAGGAACCAAGTGTCTCGGTAATTAACCACAAAGGGTCCACCGCTGTCACCGCTGCAGGCGTCTTTGGGTTGATCCAGGAACCCCGCACAGAACATGTTGTCTGTGATGACCTGCAGGACATGGGTTGACATGTGACTGTTAACGTCAAGATTTATTTTTTTTAAAAATCATCTGGAGGATTGTTAAACCTTTTACATTCAATAGATTTTCTAAATTCTTGAACAGAAATACCAATATCAGCAGGTAGATTTCAGTGTTTCTCATCTATTTTTATTTGTGACTTATCCAAATAAAAGGAATTATTTATATGGAAAAAAGTATAAATGAAAACATATTTTCATAGTGTTATAGTGGAACAATTCTGCCTATACCTGATGAATTAGTAAGGAGTAATTAGTAGTAATTTCATTGCACTGTTTGAATCGATGCATCTATACATCCTGAATCTTAATCCTAATTTGACATCATATTAACCAGAGGGTCTTTGGAGACCACTGCTGATCACTGTGTTCTGATCACCTGCTCAGTGGAGGCAGCACATGCTCTGTAACTGACCACCGGGAGAGACACCTTCCTCAAGAAGCGGGATGACCTGCCCAGGTACCGAGTACGACCCCAGCCAGAGGCCACGCCCCAGGTGTCCTCCTGAGAAAAAAACACAAACTGAAAAAAAAAAAAAAACATCTGGGCAACAAAAATTTTGCTACTGCTGAGCAGCTAGTTCTCTGTGACCAGACCAAGGCGCTGTTTCGCTGTTTTATATATATATTTATAATTGACATACTGAGACTATTTATTTTTGTTTGGAACACAATTCAACTCTGATCCTGATTCTGGATCCAAATTCCTTTCCATCCATCCTTCACACACACAAAACACAGTTTACCCTGAGCAGGTACTTGGACAGGTGGTTGTCAGGGAGACAGGCAGGGATGGCAGTAGGCCCCTTGCTGACAGGCTCAGCTAAAAGGATCAGAGCAATGTCACTGTCGAAGGTGAAGGAGTGGAAGTGAGGATGAATGAAGACTTTTTGAATCTTTATCTGCTGCTCGTCTTCGTCAGGACGTTTTGAATCATAGTCTCCTACAAGGACAGAGAGGAGAGGACAGGCAGTCGGAGGACAGACACTGTGAACGGACAGTTTGACCAAGTGCAATGTACTTGACCTGTGATTGTACAAGGGTCAGTCAGAAAGTCCTCAGACAGACGTTTATCATCCCTGCAGATGTCTGATGTTAAAGACAGAGACATTTTACACACCTATAGTCACATAATCTGCCAAATCTTCAAAGCAGTGGGCGGCTGAGACGACCCAACGATCAGAGACCAGGGTTCCACCACAGAAACCATAACCATCAGACCTATGGACGAGAACCTGAAACACACACACACACACACAGACTGTGGAGTTAATGATTTCACACAGGCTGACTCTTGTAAATATATTTACTCCAGTAGAGATAAGGTATTGGTCAGACTATTCCTTTAATCTAATTGGTTGACCTTTCCTCACCTGCCAGGGACTCCCCCCGGGTCTCTCCAGATCTCCACCCACAATCCTAAATGTTTTTTCCTGCAGAGCTGTGCTGTTTCCTGTGGTGTTCACAGTCATCCACTCATCCTGCATTTCTGTCAAGTTTGCATATGCGTCCCAGCTCAATGTGCTGTTGTCCTCTGTCCGCAGGGTGGTGTTGTCCAATAGAGAACGCCCTCGCTGCAATGCATACAACATCTGACGACCGCAGGGGAACTGCTCTGGTGGACGAAGAGAAGCAAATGTGAGCTTTGAACAGCACCGTCCCAGACCTGGCAGACTCAGGTCCTTGGACAAAATGTCCTTTTAAGTTAACTATCACAGCTGGTGTAGACATCAGTCCACACAGCACATCCTGGACCAGGACACAGACCAATCTCACCTGCCTTGGAGCAGCTCCGTCCATCAGCATCCAGTTTGAATCCATCAGCACAATCACACTGCACTCCAGCACCCCCTGGCAAATCTCTGCAGTACTGCACACAGCCCCCATTTCTGTACTGACACTTCAGCAGCACTGCAGAGAAGAAATAAAATTACTGGTCAACATCACACTGAGACAGTCAACAGAACATGTCCAGGTCAGGAATTCTGTGGTCTTCTTTGGTCAGCACCAGGTGTGGTCTACCTGAGTCACAGAGCCTGCCGTGGTACTGTGGAGGACACAGACACAGGAAGTCTTCCCGCTCCATGGTGCACATGCCTCCATTCAGACAGGGGTTGGTGACACAGGGGTTCAGATCTACAACAAACAGAAGAGACAATTTTATAAACCAGTAGAGGGCACCACTAATGCGTGAGAACTTCTGATCTGTGATTGGCTCCACATTAAGAAACCTCATCAGGGAGAAAACTTTCATAGAATGAAAAGATTATTTTAAACTGCTGTCAATATCAACACAGTACAAATATCAAATATAATAATAAGAATAATTCTGTATTTAGGAAATTACTGCATGAATGTAAAAACAACCACTGACAAAGTTTTTGTTTGAATTGAATAAAGTTGTAGTTCTTCAATTGAACACTAGGGGTAGTTTAAAAAACACAGATATCAGTATTAAATAAATAGATCAATTGTGTGAATATGCACATGTACTCACTTGAGTATCTGTACCAGAATTCCAACTGTGGACAAACACACAGAAATAAACAATTATGAAAAATACATTGTTTGTGTACACACACAATTATAATCCAAACTTTAATCCTAATCTTAACTTTTAAGTGGCGGACCTGCAGAATATCCCCACAGGTATAGCTATACTAGAAATCACACACACACACACACACACACACACACACACACACACACAGTACCATAGTCTCTCTGGTCTGGAATATCTCTAGTGCCTCCTCCTGGGAGCATTTCTCCTCATAACATTCCCTCTCGAGGTCACCAGGTAAAACCTCCTCCAGGAAGGCATTAGCACGGCGCCTCCTAGTGGAGTGAAGGATCTGACCGGCTGAAGGAGGGTCCATGAACACTGAGGGGAGAAGACAAGCATCAATAAGGCGATGACGAGACACGTGGACGTTATCGACACTGGTAAAAGAGACCATGATGATGTAGTCATGACAACGACCGACTGACTGTTATAGTACTTGGACAATAAACACTGAAGTGTCTCATCAGCAGACTGAGTGTTTCACCTTAAAACAGGGACATGAGTCTGTCCAACACCTGCAGCAGGAACCAGAGGTTCTGGTACTGTGTGACAGGAACCTCCAGAGTGACTGACTGATTTTACACCAGTGGAGGTGAAACAGGTCTTTCTGACATGTCAGTCTGTCTGTCTGTCAGTCTCACCTGTGCAGTGGATGATGTCACAGCAGAGCAGCAGACTGAACACAGTCACAGTTAGCAGCCACTTCTTGTTGAACTCTGTGAACAGAGGAAATACATAGATTTTTTATGAAAAACGATAGACAGATTTATTCAACTTTGACCCTCTGTCCTCTCTGCTCCACCAACCTGTCATGGCCTAATGTCTCCCGTTGTCTTCAAATGCTGGTTTTGTCTCCCTATGTCTCGTTGTGTCCTAATATTTCCAGTGGTATTCTCTTTTGTCCTTTCTTGTCTTTTTTATCTCAGAGTCTCCAAATTTCCTCTGTTCTGCCTTTTTGTCTCCGGTTGTCTCTCACAGAGACAGACGACAGCTTTGTGAGGTAAAATGGACGACTGGATCAGAGCTGATTGATTGACCTTTAACCCAACTTCAAATATTGACACACAAACATCACAGGAGACTGTTCTTCTGACATCACAGGAAGTAAACAGGTGCTGCAGCCAAAGAACAGATACTGGTGTTTCCATGATGTATAGAACTGTCAGAGAAACTGGACACACTGTTCTTACTTAAGAAGAACTTGCAGTAACCTGTGACAAACATCTGAGCTGCAGCTATGATCCAAAGTCATGTTCTCTCAGTAGTTTGATTTAAATGTTCATTTACATAATTGAAGTTTAAAGGAGAACTTGGAGAACATGGAACAAACACACCCACGAAGACATGAGAACTACATACAAAAGTGCAGTAGTTAGACCTGGGGATTGAACCAATGATCTTTTTGCTGTAAGGCAAGAGCACTTACCTCTTTTGTCCACAGCAATTTATTACATAAGAATAAAACAAAATAAAATATACTTTTGTATAATATTTTAAAAACACCAATGGTGTAGGTTGATTTGTATAAATACTAAAGCCAGTTCTTAGGGAGCGTCTGGGGCCGTGAGGGATGACGAGGGGCGATTTTGAATTTTGGAGCCTGAAATGTTTTGTATGCAAATACAAATAGTGTAAGTTCTGATATTCTGATATTTTACGCAGACACAATAGCTTGTCGTTACAGGTTTTACTTACTGTTTGTTTACAGCAAATCAAAGAAACAGCAGACTGTATTTACACCGACAGCCCAACATAGGGCGTATGTACACACAGAGGTTTGACAGCGTACAGTAATAACATTTACATAAATTATCAAATAAATACACAGGACGAATCAGACGTGGCATCATGGTAACAGCAGAGGTTCGACCAACCGCCCTCAAGCAAGGCACTAACACACTGGGCCGCAGCAGGAGCTAACGTGTGTTAGCATGCTACGATGTAAGGACTTTACACAAGACACCTGTCAACCAATATGGATATGCAGCATGTTTCTGTTGTCCACGTAGATGGTGTATATTTCTGACTGACAACAAGCTGGAAACAACGTAAACACAACATGTAGATCTGAACGTCCTGAGCGTTAAAATCACGTTAGCACTGTCTGTTCACAGGTCAACACACAAACACGTCACAACAACCCAGAGTTTAAAAGAGGAATAAAAGTACAGAGGGGTCACAGACAGACAGACGTGTCCCTGCAGGTCTCAGCTGATCACAGATGTTCTGTGTTTTTTTTTACAGTGTATACAGCGACTCCACACTGACATGAAGCCATTCTTCTTCAGTCTGCCCACACTAGCTGTGGTCTTTGTGGATGGAGTTTCTCATTATGATGCTGACTGGCTGTTTGGTGAGATGGGAAGGCACGGGTGAAGCATCTGATTGGTTCTTGTTTTGACAAGTAGTCCATTCCTGTTTTTTGGTCCAGGGTCAAAAGTCAGATCAGGAGGTTCAGTAGCAGCACAGGTCGAAGGAGGATGTCAGGAGGCGGGACCTAGACATGACGACAGGACAAAGAGTGAAGACTGTTTTCGCCTGTTGCCATGGTGAAATGTGGTCTTCACCAATACTTACTATAACCCTGACTGTGCATCAGCTCATCTACTGTAAATTAACTGTTATGATGAGAGACATCAGCTCCAGAAACATTAAACCCAACCTAACCCTGGTCTTTGACCTCTTGACCTCTGAGGACACACACACTGACCTGGATGATCAGGCTTCACTGGCACTGCTGTTCCTGTTCAGTTCTCTGATTCCCTGAAGGATTCTCTTCATGTGACCGACTTTGGTGACCCCAAGGTCCTGAAATACAGTTACCAGAGAGGAGCTAGCAGTTAGCAGTTAGCCGTTGGCACTGAGTGACTTGCAACTACAGTTTCCGGTTGATTACGCTACCTTCAGGTCCCTTCGCTCCAGGTGTATAAGCTCAGCCCCACGGACGTCATGTCCAATAAAAATGTCCTTATACTCTGCGAGACACAGGAAGTCCAGCCACGCCCCCACCTCCTCTGTCCCCCACTGGTAAACTGATGACAACAGCACATGGATCAGACTCCACAGGAAACGGTTTAGACAATGCAGGGAATAGTTTTGGATGCAGAGGAAAGAGAAGAAACTCACCAGGCAGAGACAGAGTTGCACATGTCTCCTTGTTCTTGTTGTTTTTATCTTTCTTGAACTTTGGGACAAGGCGAAATTTAGCACTGCGGCTGCGTTTGGAGAAGTCTAACAGAGAACCCTGAAGACAGAGGGACAGGAACAGTCAGAGGACAGTAGGATGAAGAGCAGAACAGTGCTGACTATGGACGTTGACTGATGACGGATACAACAATAAACACTTATGCAGATGATACTTTGTTTTTAGATCCCGTCTTAGCCTGAGACACTGTAGTACCATAGTTGTAGTACTTTACTGTACCGTATGTCCTCTTGTGTTAATACACCTGTTTAGATTTGCTTTTATTTACATCTGACATCCATTTGTGTGATGGTTGAGTTTTACCTTTTTGTACAACTCTGTGACACATTAATTGCTGGATTTAATACTTTGCCACTAATGTTAGCATGTATTGATCATTACTGACAGGTCTGTTTGTTTTCCAACTGTCAGATTATTTGGACCTAGGCCCAACAATAACAGCTTTAACATGTGCAGGTTAGGCTTCAATAACCACAGTAAAACGATCCAATGTTCTACCTCCTGATCTGATGGGTCAATGATGGAACACAACCAGGGAACATCTGCCAGTCGACGTAGCTGCTGAGCAACAGAGTTCAGAGCAGAGTTCAGTTGGTCCTGATGAGGTGGATCCAGCTGCTGTACACAGAGACACAGCACATCAGAACCAGAACCAGAACTAGAACAGGAGCGGACTGAAGATTTCTCTCAGATGGTGAATTATTATGAATCATTACCATGGACATCTTTCCAGCCAACAGCAGTTCAGTCTCACTGAGTAAAGCCTTGACATTATTGACCATGTGCACAACAACACTGCAGCTCAGAGCCTGGAAACATGAACCAAACATCAGCAGGACTTTAACAAGTGCAAATGAAAGATCAGAACGGCAGAGACAAGAAGAACCAGGACACAAATCTGAATCTCACCCCAGAGTTCTTGGAGTTGGCGTAGACCACATCCATGGCCTTTGAACTGGCGTTGACAGCATGAGCCAGTTCCTGTTCCATACTGTGGTGGGACTGAGCCACCTCTCGTATACTGGAGGAAATATAGATGGACTCAATGTCTGGTCAGATTCTGTTTTTACATGGAAACTTCTGAAACCTGTGTCTACCTGTGTATGAGGGTTCCTGCTGCCTGACCAAACTCACTGACCAGCGACGCCTCCTCCTCAGAGACCATCTCCGGTGGGGAGGACGTGGGAGGCTGTGGGGGCTGAGGAGGTGGAGTCCGTGGAAACTCACACTTCTGTTTGTCTTCCCAGGACTTCAGTGTGCTCTCAAACGCCTCAATCACAAAACAACAAACCAACTGATTTAGTCGAGATCCAGGACCAGTCCTTTAATCACAGATGTACAACTTACTCGATCCCGGGTCAAAGTCTGGGTCCGGTTCTTATGGAGGATCCTAATGTAACCTGGAGGCTGGATCCAGGCTTCACCGTCCACTTGAACAGGGACACCTTCATCTCCGAGGATGGTGATCTTCACCGTCCGACACTGGGGGAGGAAAGGAGAAAAAGACAGTGATACAGATATACATCACCAAAAGAATGTATGCTGAGAAACGCCAGGGCGGCAGCATAAAGACAGACTCACCTGAGCAATACGATGGTGCTGCAGGTTGATGACCCGGGACACGGCCATCTGCATGCTGCCAAACACGGCCACCACCTCCAGGATCTTATCATCGAAGGACGGAGCAGTGAACGTCTAACAGAGGGAGACAGAGACAGATGATGACATCACAGATTTACTCTTGTGGAGAACAGGCGACCGTCTCAATGGTCCTCACGTCATCCTCTTTGGTCCCGCCCCAAAAGTTGGTTCCCCCGGCATAACTTGGAATGTTCAACACTGCGATACCCTGTAGACTGGGGAGAGGGATGGGCCGGCCGTCACACTGTACACACACACACACGGTTAAAGGTTAAGACTTTTCTTTATTTATAACATTTAAAATCAGCTGAACAGGATTAGATCACAAAATAAAAAAATGTTGTATGCCTTTAAGAAGTTTAAGTTGAAGACTTTTATTGTTTAAAGATGTGGTTGCAGCGTACCTCCAGCAGAACTCTCTGTTCTAGGTTCTTGTAGGTTCTGTGTAGAAGCTCTTTAGTCCCCAGGACGCCGTACCACATCATGTTCTTGGTGCGACTCCTGGACACATGACCACAACCAATCAGAGATCTCAGCAAGGACACGTGTGTGTGTGTGTGTGTGTGTGTTAATGATGGAGGAGGTTGTACCTGCACTTCTCTGGATGCTCATCTCTCTTGTTGTTGAAGTCCAGAGAGATTTTAGCATCAAGACCGATTCCAAAGTAATTATTCATGACGCACTTCTCTGTGAAACAATCCCTGCACACACACACAGACAAACAGACATTTATTTACTATACATTTTTGATTTATTAAGTTAATACTAAGGAGGGTTTGACTATGACTGCCACCAGAGGGCAGTATTAAAAACAGGTGTGATTAGTATGTATAGCTCAACAGACTGTGTGAGTGAATTGTGTCAGCAGATAACAATAAATATGACGATAAATCAAAATGTTCTCAGACAACAAAGTTAAAAATGAACAAAGGACATCCTCCAGAATGCTAGAGAGAATGATTTCTCTGATGAAAACACCACTAAGGAAGAGAGCAGACTGAAACATGGAAGAGATAAAGGAGAGACAGAGATTCGTTACCATCAAAAATAAGTATGTTTTATGACTTCCCGACCTTAACTCATGTTTAACCTCATGTTCTTGGAACAAAAAGTTTGCAACTTGTGACCTCTGACTCACATGTTCTCAGGATCACCACTGAAGGAGTCGGCATTCACCAACAGTCGACTGATGACGGAACTGCTGGACAGAGAGCTGGAGAGACCTGCTCTGAGACCTGAGGGGGAAGTAGAGATACAGATATATATATATATATATGTACAGATTAGTCAAAAACTTTAACAGGTTACATTTAAATGTTTCTTGGTTAGCTTTGACCACTCTGACCACTGTGTCGTGTCCTCTGACTCGGTGTGTGTGCTGAGTGGAGTCACTCAGCACACACACCACTTAGATTTTTAGTTTAGCATTAGCTGCTGTTCACACTGATCTTTAACCTGGATAGAGGATCTTTGTGTTGAGCATCGGCATATTCTCCCTACTTCCGGTGTGGCCAGGAAGTGATGCAGAGCTACCCAACGACAGGCTGCCTTTGCTGATCAACTTTTCACAGGGCGTCTTACTGACTGTAAAGGCAGGGGCGAGAGAGAGAGAGAGAGAGAAAGAGGACAAAGAGAGGTCAACAGTGAGTGTAATTGATGGCGAAAGTGAAATAAACAACTTATTGACATGACAGAAGACTTCTACAGATTCAACAATACTAGACAGTGAAATTAATTAAATAATAATAATAAGTAAGTAAATAATAATTAATATTCCACCTTGCCACAACAGTTACCATTACAAACATGGAATCTATGGACAGTGCTGCAACTCTGTGGAACAGACCTCTGCGTGTGCTGCGATGTTTGGCGCTGTAGGATGACTTCAGAGACACTTTGTCCTCCTCCAGCTCCTCCTCTTCCTCCTCCTCCTCCACCAGACCATTGCCTTCTTCAGTACGATTCAGGGTGAACATATGCGCCTGCGTCTGTGCGTTCTGCTCGTCCACCGCTGTGAAGACAAAGGACAGGTATTAAAACACTCTGCTCACCCTTATGTGACGTAGGTGAGTAGGCCAGTACCACCTTTCTCTGTGTGCTCGATGATCTGACGGATGGCCTTCTTCAGACTGTTGGCTCTCAGCATCAGCTGCTCTCTGGGTTTGAAGATGGTGGCTGAGGGGCTGTTGGTGCGTGGGGAGCAGGGCTGTGTGTGAGGAGCAGGAGGAGGAGGAGGAAGATGGAGCGAAGGTGGGTGTACTACAATCTTTCCCTCCTCCTGATCACCAGGTATGACAGGAGAAGGAGGAGCCGGGGGAGGGACAGTGGAGGCCCGGGACTCCTCGTTGAGAGTCTTTAATAGAGAGTCCAGTTTCTCCTTCAGAACTCCACACTGAGACAGAAAACACACCTCAGACAAAAAGAAACTACTGTGTTTAAACAGTAACCATCAACTGAGACATCAAAATAAATGATGGAGGAAAAACAAGACTCAAACAGACACATGACTCAGCAGAAAATTGACCAATGAAAAATGTGCACCTTCTTGGCCATGGCCTCAGATTCCTCTGAGCTCTCTGTGTTCTTCTCATACGCTTTACCAACGCGAGCCACAAAGTCCTTCACGGTCTCACACAGAACCCTGGTCGCAAGAACACACAGTGAGTGACACACGCATTCATGCAACTGAAGTACACATATGAAGGGGCCGTACTTGGCAGAGGAAATGACAACAGAGTGCTGGTCTGAAGTCAGGATCTTGGAAAGGTGAGCAGCAACAGAGTCTTCATAGGTCAGAATCTGCTGCACCTGGATCAGATCAGAACATTATGAACGGAACTAACAGTACACACAGTCGGAGACAAGTGATTTGATTTCCTCTGACCTCAGAGTCATCACTGTGGCAGTCTTCTGTGACAGTGGAGGCCGAGTGTTGCCGTGGAAACTTTGTCTCATAGACCATGATGCTCCACCTGCAGGAAATTTAGGAGATTTACAGTATCTTAAGATTACTCAGAGTCAGAGAATCATCATCATGACATCACTGTGACATCACTCACCGGTCTAACATCTTGGTGCTTGCTCTCTCCAGCTTCTCCAGGATCTGAGGCAACTGCGTGTCATCGTCACAGGCGGAGCCCCAGCCCAGGACCCGGGCCAGATCGTTACCAGTCCCAAGAGGCAGAACGCCAAGCTGACACTGATTTAGAGATGAATCGTTAGTTTATTCGTTTATTATCTGCACTGATGCAGTATTAAAAAGCTAAACAGGCACCTGTTTGTGCAGCGTCAGAGCATCGATCTCTGACAGCACCCAGCCCACGCTGCCGTCCCCTCCACACACCAGGATTCTGAAGGTATCAAACTTCTGGAAGAGCCTCAACCTGTGCAGAGAGACCGATCAGTGTTCACAAATGTTCAGATGACAATGTTTTATTGTTGTTGTTGTCAGGCGTCATGTGGTTTTCTCACCCCAAGTGGGG